CAGCATCTGTAAGCCTAGCACACTGATATAAGAATGATTATAGAAGAAAACCACCACAATCAGCAACCACTGTGGTTCTTTGGCCCAGTAATTTATTTGAACATCTTATTCCTTCTTCTTTGCTATTAATAATCACAGACAGTGTGAGGACTTTATCCTTTTCTCAATATTGATAAAAAGAGAAAAAATGAGTGCTGATTATGATATATGTTTAATAAGAAGCAATGTTTCTGATGAGTAATACTTTAATGTATTGTTAATAAAACAATTTATATATTTAAACCATATTAATTTATTAAAATGCTATTAATTCATTTTTTAAATTAAACATCCATTTGATAACCAATTAAATTTCAATATACTTTAATCTCATAGTAATACGTAGAAACCGTCATTAGTAGAAAGGATTCTAATAAGATAGGAAACTGGCAGGCATTGCTTAACTGAGTTGGGAAGTCTTAAAACAAAGTCTAGAACCATTCTTATCAAAACAGGTTGCAAGTCAGGTTTCCAACCACCCAGATCTAAACAAGACGGGGGCAGGTCAAGTTCCAACCAGTTAGAACTAAGATGGCAGATAAATCAAGAGCTTCTTGACATTGCAGCCTCATTATACCCTTATTACCATAAAACTTTCTAAGGAAAATTCCTACTCCCATCATGCACCTGATGCCATGACACTTCCAGTTTGACCATATTTAGTTGAAAGGAGGTATCATCCTAATTCCAGGAAAACATACTTCCCTTTTCCAAGAAACAACATGAATACTCCTCCCCTTGTTTAGCCTATAATTAAGCAATTGCTTAAATAGAGGGACTAAAGGAACCACAGGGCAATTCCCCTCCTCAGGGAGAACTAGCCTCTATTCTGTGGGATAAACTTTCTATGCTTCTTGAATAAAACTCACTTTCCATTTACACCCTGGGATAGCTCCTGATTCTTTCTTGTGTGAAGCCAAGGACCTTGTTGGACTTCAAATGATTCTTGGCATTGGAAATTACTTTCCTGTGTCATTAGGACTTCAGGAAAATTGTTTAAGAAACCAATAACACTGAAGAAAAATTAAAATATTTTCTGTTTTATGTTTATTAAATTAAAATGCAACATATGAAATAACAGAAATAGTATTGGTTGTGAACTTCAAGAGCTATTGATCACTTAAATATATTAGTTAGTATTTACCTTTGGGATAAAAATAATTAACATTACCATATATGTGTCCCTTTTGGCAAATTATGGATCTGAAAAATTAACTTCGTTAGGGTATTTTATAGTTTCATTGGGCTATCTTATAGTTTCTCATCTGAAATTTACCATGGGTTAAAATTTTGCTTTGCTTGTGGTTTTCTTTTTTACCAAATTCCCCAAAGAGAGAATGTAGCTAATTGACAAAAGCATTTATGAGTATGTAAAAGCCTTCTAAGATTATATAATATTTCAGGGAAAATACTAATGAGTTTATGGAGTCTTATTTAGATTATTTTTATAGGATTGTTGCTTATGTTTACAGGGCTATGTGCCATCTATCTGTGCTAATATTATCTGATCACAGACTTCAATCTTGTTATTTTCTTGATTTGGTCCATTGTCTTCACTGTACATGAACAAACTGTGTGCATGTTTTTCTGTACATGAAACGGTCTTTTTCTCCAAGCAATGCTTATTTATGATCCTTGTTTATTGTTTTCTCCTACCCATTTAATTATTCTTTAATTGCTTTTGGGAACCTGAAAATTAGAGTCCTTTATCTATTAATTGCTCCTACCTATGCTGAATTTTGGGATTGTCCTCTTTTTCTGACCAACTTGGTTACTGAATTTATTCTTTACTTCAGTTGCATTAGTATTTTTTTAATAGAGTTTATATCATGGGTGAAAGTTCCCAAGTCTTACCAGCTGTGAGATTATTCAGGTTACCTAACCTTACACCTCAGTTTCCTCATCATTAACATGGGGGTAATAATTGCACCATTATCAGAGTCAAAATGTTAGCATGAAGTAAAATAGTTAATGTAAAAAATCACAAAATGCTTCACACACAGCATATCTTCAGTAAAAATTAACATGTCTTTCTATCAAGATTGCTTTTGTTGTTCTACTTTGAATTCAGAGAAGATATATTCAGGGTTATTAATATACTGAACTTAATTATAACATTTAAACTTTTTATAAGGGTAGTAAACTTTCAAGGTGCCTTATCAAGGTTGCTATGAATATCCTTTCTTCATGAAAGCTTAGTAATAAAGCCACATATAAGCTGAGATCTTGGAGGACAACAGCTACTTTTATCTTTTGAAGCCACAGTAGCCATCTCCCAATAGGAAAGATGCAAACAATACTCCAAATCAATACTGATGTTGTAACCTTGTGTTGTGCAAAGCAATAAATATGAAAGAAAAAAAAACAAATCTAGTTTTCATGTAATATGATGGTTCAATGTAAGTGTGCTAAGGTTATTAACATGCCAAAAAATCAACACATGGCCCATTGTAAGATCTCCTTTGAGATTGATGGCCAAGTCAAATCACCATCATTGCCTTCTCTGATTAACCTTCCTTAGACCAAAATGATTTTCATTGCTATCACTGGGGCTTCGTTTTAAAGCTTTTCATTCTTTCAAATATATTTAATAACTATTATTAAACAACTATGATAAAACAACTGCTATTTAAGGAGAAAAATACAGTAAATTTTGCATTCTGGAATATCAGCAAGTTAGCAGTATTAGGAGATCACACAAGCATAACCATAGTGATCAGTGTTCCAGGTTTTCTTTGATATACCTGATTTAAGTTCTCTCTGTCCCTTTATATATACACTTTATAGTTAGATCATCTTTCTAGTTTTTGATTCAGAAAATATTGGCATTGTGTAATGTATTTACATAAATCACAAGCTATGAATGCTTTGAGAAGGAGAATCAAGTAACTTTTTTTTTTAAAGGAATCAAGCTTGAATGCCTGACTCTCCTTGGACACTGAGAAGGATTTAGAGGAGAGTAATGTGTGTGTGTGGTGGGATGGGGGTTAGGGGGTTTAAATATTTTTGTAGATGGGATTTCTGTAGAATGGAATGACAGGCATAAAAAACAGAGAGGCATGGGGCAATTTATAGGAACACTGAATGTATAATTTTAGTGTGGAATAAAATAGAAAATTTGTTTAAACACTGTGGTAGGCGGCTTTAAAGGCTAAAGAAATCGGGTTATTTTTGTAGTCAATAGTAAATAGAGATAGATGAGCAGGTTAGTAGGTAGAAATGCAAAGACTATGAAAAAGAAAGGAGCTTGAAAATCATCTTCTCCAAATCTCACATTTTATTGATTAGAATGCTGAGGCCTATAGAAGTAAATCAACTAGCTTAAACCCCATTAAAGGCTTATGTCTTATATTAATTTTATTATGTATTCTTAGACTCTGGGTATCTGAGTTGATATTCTGTTTAAACATTTTTAAGAAAATCAACTAGAAATGGGGGGAGGGCTTACATTTTGAATGGTCTTCAAATAGAAACATAAATTTTAACTTTCCATCTCACTGTAAAGCTTTTTGCCAAACTGAAAGACTGATTCACTGCCATTCCCCTAAATTTGCTTCATCCATTTGGAGCATATTATAATAAAAAGAAGCTGCTTTCTTACTCTTGGTGCCAAAACATTTCAGGGAAAAAAGAAAATCAGATGAGCTTCCACCTCTTTACAAAATTGCACCACTGTTGCTTTATTCCTTCACCTTTATTGCAAATATTTTTAAACAAAACCCAAATATCATCAGCTAAAGATTGTGAGAAATTTATTCTGAAGACAAACATGACTCCAGATACGTCAAAACTGGTGAGCAGATTCACCTTTATTAGGTGTGAACAGAAGCCCAATTTTTACAATGGGTACTATACCAAATTAAGTGAGATACCTTTCTTCTAAAATCACTTTTTTTGTGTTTCCTATGTAGTGTTTTTTTTTTTACTGATGCCAATAGAGTAAAACTGCCCTTCAGATGTATCTCTTTGAAAGAATGAAGGAGTAAATTGAGGGAGACTATTAAAGCAGACAGAATTGAGTTAAAGCATAGACAGTTAATTGTCTTAAGCTGTTTTCCCCTAATTATTTGCAAAAGCCTTTGGATGCCATAGGACACAATCAATTAAAATAATTAATTTTAAAGCCCTGAAATTATATGACTTATGCTAATTTCACTAGAATTAGTAACATGTGTCTGCATATCATACAATTTCCTTAAAAAAATTTATCAATGAAATAAATGAATTAAAGCATCACCTCTGTAAAGTACCTGGCACACTACAAATCTCAACAGCCAAATTCTGTGACTCCCTGAAATCGCAAACAGAGCTGCCGCCTCTATATGTAGGTATCTATTATTGATTTCTGAGGAAAATGTTGAGTAATTATCCCATTCCAATCACCTCAGAATTGGGAGCGCGGAAAGGGTTGGCGGCCGTGAGCGACGCGGGTGTTTAGGAAACTGGCCGCGGACCCGTGGGGAGCCCGCGGACGCGCGGCGTGACGACGGGGCTGCGGGCGCCACAGCCCGCGAGGGGCAGCCGGCAACGCGCCAAAGCGAGGGACCCGCTCCTCTCAGGGCTCGGGCCGAGCCAGCGCCGATTTCCCTTCCGCCTCCCGGGAACCCCGGTCCTTGCCAACGCCGTCAGGAGAATTCTTCGCCCTAATTACCCGGGGAGGGAGACGCGCCCTTCCCGGAGACCGCTAGGCAACACTCACCACGGCAGCCTCCGCGCCACTTCCCTCCGTGGGCGTGTGACTCCGGCGAAGCCGCTCGCACTTACAGTAGCTTCTCACTGGCGAGGCGGCGGGCGGCGGGGGGCGGGGGAGCGGGAGGAGGAGGAGGGAAGGAGGGTGGGAGGCGCAGAGCGGCGAGGCGGAGGAGACGCCGGAGCTCCAGACACAGCAGGAGCCCGCCGTGGCGGTGCAGTCGCAACCTCGCCTCGGCTGCCGCGCACACGCCGCCGCCGCCTCCTCCGCGAGCGGCGGAAACCGCGGCCGCTCCCGGGCCGCCGCCGCAGCCCGCTCCGCGCCTCTTCCCGCCGGCCCCGTCAGCGCCTCCCTCCTCGCCGCTCTGCCCGCAGCTATTTCTGTCAGCTCCTGCGAACTCTCCGGATCTTTGCCTCGCCTAGACGCTCTCCTGCGTTTTCCTCCTCACATTTTTCTCAACTTCTCCCCCTTTATCCTTAGACACCCTGTTTTTGCCTCCTCTTTTGAATCGGGGATTCCGGCTTAAGATGACGCGTCTTCCTGACCCTCGTCCACTTCAGCACTGAAGGCTGAAAAGGAACCCTCACCTCTCCGCCCGTGGCATCTGAAAATTCTCAATCTTTAAAAAGTCTTAAGAGGCTTAAGTCTACACAGGAACAGGACTGGGGACCCTGTCGACACCCTTGAGCCCGGTCCGGAACTGCGCGAGCGACCAGAACTGGGGTCGCGTCGAGCCCCGCGAGCGGGAGCGGGAGGGCGAGGGGAGCCCGGAGCAAACTTCAGCGTCTCAGCCACCGCGCTCCCGCATTTGGAGGAGCCGCGTGCCGCCAGGCGTGGGACCCCACGGCGGACGAGCGGGAGCCCCGAGTCTTCCTCGCCTTCTCCGCGAGGCCAGAGCGGTGGACTGAGCCGCGCGGGACAGCAGCGGCCGAGGAGCCTGGGAGAAGATGCGGGGCTCGGGGCCCCGGGGTGCGGGACGCCGGCGGCCCCCGGGCGGCGGCGGCGACACCCCCGGCACCCCGGCGTCCCTGGCCGGCTGCTACTCCGCACCCCGCAGGGCCCCCCTCTGGACGTGCCTTCTCCTGAGCGCCGCACTCCGGACCCTCCTGGCCAGCCCCAGCAACGAAGGTAGGGAGATGGGGCGGGGGCCGCGGCGACCGGGCAGAGGGGCAAGGCGGGGCCTGCGGGCGCGGGGTCGGGACGCGGCTTCGGCGACCGAGTGTCACTTCTTCTCGCGAATGAACGAACGTGCGCCGGCCCCTCGCTGGCCTTTTCGCTCGCTCCGCGCTGCCTCCGCTTGCATTGTTCCACACGAGCCGCGGGCGCCGCGCGGGGGACGCGGGCGGACCGAGGCTGGCTGGGGGCTGGGAAGTTGGAACCCGTGGGAGAGGGGCACCCGGGCCCCGCGCCGGGGCGATGGGCGCGGCTGGGTCTCACTTAAGGCGCGTGAGGAAGTGACATTTGGGGTTCAAAGAGTGGAAACTGTTTGAGGCTAAGCGACGAGGATCTCGAGAGCCACGGGGCTTTGCGAAACCGTTATTTGAGGCCGGCGATGGGAAACGGCTGTGGGGGTGGCTGGATGCTTTTATTTTGGGGGAAAGTGCCCGCTGGGAGCTGTTATTTAGGGCATCACCAGCTGCTATTCTGGGGTGGGTGGCAAGAGATGTTACTTCTCGTGGAGGGGGCGTGGGGAGGGACAGAAGCCCCCCTCACTGCTGAGTGCCCTTCTTCTTGGGGAGTTCACTGTCCCCCGGAGCTAGGGCGGCAGGGGCAGAGGTGGGGTGCTGCCGCGGGAGGGGGAGGGGACTGGCGCTGTTCGGAAGTTGCGGCTGGAACCAGCCAGGGCTCGTGCCCGAGACGGAGAAGACCTGCTTCGGCAGGCGGCCGATCCCGGAGTGCCCAGCCCCCGTCCCCACCCCCAGCCCTGTGTTCCGGACCCAGAAGTCGGTCCCCACCCTCGGCTGGGAGAGCGGGGCAGGCGCGGGAGCGGCGCCGGTGTTGCTCGCGGTGCTCCCGGCGCAGTGCTCAGCCAGCCCCCCTGCGCACCCGCCTCTTGGCCCCGAGTCCCCGGCCTCCGAGTCCCTTCCTGGCGCCCGGACTGCGCCCGGTCTCAGCTCCGGGGGGAAAAGGGGAGCAGCGTTTCAGATTCGGGTCGGGGCAGCCGGGAGCTGTCAGCCCCGCCGCAGAAGCCTCGGGAACCTTACCCCCGAGCTGGAAGGCTGGGTTCGATGTGGAGCTGTGCATGCAGCGCGCGAGGCTTCGAACCCTCAAGAAACCCCTTCCACCCCGGGCGCGGCCCGGAAGGCGGCCGTGCGGTCCCGTCCTGTGTGCCCTCGTGACCCGCGCGGGCCGGCGGGCGGGCGCCGAGCTGGGGTCCCCGCGCCGCCGGCCCAGAGGAGCCTGTGGGCGCGGGCAGAGGGAGACCACCTCCCAGTCCGGGAACTCTCTCTAACCCCTAACTCTGATTAAAGGATTATGCGTATCCATCAATATCTGTCTGTACCTATCTGTGTAATCTCCCAAGGTTAAGCCAAGACATTTGCATTTCTCCCTTTCCGATGAAGTTGTAAAAGTGTTTTCTGGAGTCCTAGGCCTTTTATTAACATATTATGGTAAATTCATTCTCTTAGAAGTCTGGAGGATTATAACAGGGTGAAAGGTGCTTTTATTAACTGTCTTAGTCCGCCGAAAGGGGCATCCTAGTTTGAATTTAAAGAGCTTTAACGGTAATATCATTCATCCTTTCGTGTTTCCGTTATATAAATCTTTTTTTTTTTTCCCTCCAGGTGTGATTGGGGAGAAGACTTAGAAATGAAAGGGAGTCATCCCTGAAAATGGGAAGAAATGACTTCTCAGGGTGGGTGACGTTAAGTGGGAACAAGGGCCAAGACTGAGCCAGGAGGAGGAAGAGGCAGAAGGAAATGAGAGGTAGCTAGGGAAATAGCGCTAGTCTCCTAGGGTGTCCTAAGCAGAGCCTGAATCTTGTGGGATGTCGCCTGGTGTGTATTACAGATTTAACACCCCCAGATTGTATTGTCTTACGTCAGCTAGTCCATCACACAGCACAACGTGGGCTACCCTAAGATGGGAGTTGGAGGGGATCTAACCACAAATGAGCTGTACTTTACTAGTTGGTGCTCTGAAGACACCAAGAATAAGAAGCGTGCCTGCTGTTTGGGGCACGTTTTGCCACATGTAACTGTTACGCATAATTAGAAAACAATCATTAATATCTGTGGCATTATTAATTCATTACATCTCTGCCCAGCTTATTTTTCTATCTTTTCACTTATTATCTTCCCGGACTTTTATTTCAGTTATTGTGTGAAATTTACATTCTTCTTTTTTCTTTCCCCATGCTATTGCTATAAATTGAGAGCAAAATATATTAAAATATTTCTAACAGCAGTCTAATTTTAAATTTATTTAGGAATTAAGATTAGAGTTTTCAGTTTGTTTTTATTTGTTGTTTTTTTTTTTTTCTGGAGGGATTTTGAAATGTCAGGAGCACAAAGATTTGATGTAGATGCTGAATTAATTAATTAACTTGCTCTCATATAATTCACTTTCTGCAACCTACAGATGCTTAGTGATTTCCCAAATTGTCCTGTATACATACATTCTGTATACATACATTATATATGTGTATAATATGAATACTGCCATTATGGGGGGAGAATGTGTGGAGCCAGATAAAAATAATTGTGAGTGTACATTCATAACTGGTATTGTAATTATTTTTAAATTTAACTGTGTTTTAGAGATAAATAAGCAGAACTGAAGAGAAAAACCAAGCATAAATCTAAAATCTTGAATTGATGTGAAATTTATTTATTTATAGTGTTAGAATACATTGGATAGTAGACAATAAGAGGAAAATTTACTCTCTTCTCTGAATTCTAAGCAATTTATAAGATAAATACATCTTTAGTTTTATTATATTAGGCATAAACTACATGTGGAAGAAACTTTTGATATACAGTGTAATATACAAAACTTTTTTTTAGCATAAAAGAATTTAGAGACTTATTTAGCAATAGACATCCCAGATTGATCAAGGAGGACAAATATTAGCAAGTGTATCAACAAGTGGAAATTTTAATAAATTTAATAAGTGAAGAGGGCATGTCCGCTGTTATGAATTTTGGAGGTGGCCCTGAACTTATTCAGTAACTGCCACTTTTTGCTATCTGGAGATATATTTGTAAACAAGCATTATTTGACAAGTGCTTTTCACAGCAGGGATTCTTGGCCAATTACTGCTGAACAGCTCTGCATTGAAAATGATTCACCCGCAGTGAATCAAGCTTAATTCATTGAAGCTACAGTCAGTAATGCCCCAGCAAAGTGCTTCTGACAGTTGTCAGCAGTTTGTATTTGAAAAGTCCAGTTTCTTATCTCTAAATGTTTTGTATGTTTGAGAAAGTGGATTGGAAGGGCACTGGGAAAGGAACATAAGGGGGGGGGGAAGGTAAACTACTTAAAGAAACATTCATAAAATTGTAAATGTTTCCACTGGAATGAGAGAAGAGAAAAAAGTTTGTTTTAGGGGTTTTCTTAGTTTACAATAGGACCAGGCCCATAAAACAGATTGGAGGACATAATAGATTTGTAAAACTAAATGGCTTTATTTTGTGGCCTTGTCCTACTGTTGTAATTCATTTCCTTTTAGATAAATGGGCAGGACCCCACAAAAAAAGGACAGTAAAATCATTTCCTCACCAGGACACTACTGAACAAGAAAAGAGAGCCATTACCCCCATTTAAATCATAGATTGTTGGAACTACAAGGGAACATGAAGAGTTTGGCTTTTTCGTTAATAAACCATGAAAAGAGGGTTGCAGGGTCTTGACATTTTAAGCTTTTTTTGAGGTAGACAAAGATCTTCTTGGGTGTCAGTGTGACAGATAAGAAGATTTCATTTCCTCATATAAGACGGAGAAGAGCATGGGCAATTTCTGAGTTTAGAATGGAGATTTTTACTTGATTGGAAGTATTTTTGTTATAATATCATCATTTGGAAATACCGTTAATTCTTTATTCCAAGCCACATAGGATATAGTTGGTATGGAAATAGGGTTCACTTTTTATACTTAGAAAAGCATTAATTGCCATTATATATTTCTATATTATTTATATTAGTATTATGTTCTACAAAATGTGACCATTTAAAGTATGTGGGGTTTGTATCTTTACATAAAACATGAAATGATGTAGCTATTTATAGATAAACATTCCCAAACTAATTAAATATTTTGTTCAGTATTGGTAGCTACTGTTGTGAAAATGACTGTGCTTTAGCTATTTCCAGTACACTTTCGTTGATTGACTCTATCACTTTAATCTCCTTTGTTTGTAGTGCTTTTTGTAAAAATTTATTTACTTTAATGGCTCTCTTGTTTCTCTTTCATTTGGAAGAAATCTCTCTACTTTTGACTGTAAAAATAGAGTATAATGTGCATGATTATATTAACTTACTATAGCTATTTTCCCTTTTATGAGTCAAATTAAATGTTCTTTTTTTTAAAAAAAGAATATACTGTTCATATTTTGAAGAAATAAATACTATAAAAAGTATTGACACCCCCTTACACATTTTTTTCAATTTAAATTAGCAGATATATTCCACTTTACTAATGAATAGTTTGAATTTATGTTAGTAATGATACCTAATTATTTAAAGATTGCTACAGCATTTTTAACAAATCTGAAATAATTTAACAGTGATTTTCATAAAACATAAAAATTGACGTTGAAATATCAAGCCTTGCTTATTAATCGTTAAATATTGATTTTAGTAGTTGCCTTTTCTTTTTCTTTTAATAAAGTGTGAATTGTGATTATAAAAGCAATATGAGAGCTAAAAACGTAAATTGTTACCTTAGAGACTCAGAGTGTTTCTTGTTCTAATATCTTTGGTCAATATAATCTCAGTGGGAACAGAATGGATCCCACTAAGATATACTCTACTAAGTAAATACTTATTGAGTTATTTTATCAAAATTTATGTAATCAATAGGATAAGTAGTGATTTCTTCAAAGGAGTTAGTCTAGTCCATCATATACATCTACATACCTAATGGAGTAGTTAATTGGCATTAAAAAATCCATCATATATTCTATCACA